TGGAAAAACTGAGCAACTCTCCCTCCACTATAGACTTTCTAAGCATGCACATGTAAACCAAACACAAACTTCAACAACAACCTCAAATAACTGTTTCCAGAATTATAAAGTCATGATATAAAAGGTAAACTGTGTGAAATTTTATCTTTTGAATATGCTTAAATTTAAGAAAATTTGTTCAAGGTAATTTATGACCCTTCATAGTGATGTCATATAAAATGGGAAAAAATGTATGTGTAATCAGAAATACCAAAGAAAAGTGTGAAATGCGATGATAAAATTAAACATTCTTAATTATAATACTTCTTGTCAAATAATCTTATCTATCATACCATTATAAAATGTGAACTTACCAGATCGGCAATTTTCAGGCACATTAAAAATGGTCACTTTGTTTTCAAAATATGGGGCATTATCATTATCATCTTCGACTTTGATTAAAAAGGGGAGTGGATACTCTGGTGCATAACCATCTGCGGTGGTTGCATAGCCATAGAGCTGAAAGGAAGAAAAACACCATCGACTTGTTCTCAAATGACAAATTATACACAAAAGTAAGCCTAGCAGTGGGGGAAAATGTAACATTGAGAAAATCATCCAGAAAGGTATCTGTAACGAAGAAATGATGCAATAGAGAAATAACACACACACAGGCACGATCTACGCCCGCCATATGGCTTCAATCCCCGCTCAGCGTTCTCATTCTTCTCCCAGCAAGTCTCATGCAATCCAAGCACCACGCACTCCAGGTGTCCTCTGGGTTGACAGTGTGCTGTTCTGCTTGTTAGAATGCATGTAGTCTTTCCTAGTTATGTTAATAACAAGCATTTGTAACAGTTCATAAAAAGTACAATACTATTTATTTATAGATTTATGTATGTATAAATATACATCCTAGTTATTTCTGGGTGATTCAGCTATGGGTTCTTTTCTCTATTTATCTGAATTTTCTCATTTTTCTTTCATAAGCATGTATTTCTTCGTAATAAAAATGCTAATAAAAGCATATACATTTCACAAGCTCCATTCCCAACTCTTATTCCCAACTGCCAGGATTTAATGTCTTTTCTCTTTTAACTACATCAAATTATTTCTGCAATCTCCTTATGTGGTTTGAGCATAGTAAATGTTCAACAAATAGGCATTGAACAGATTTTCTTCACTGATGGGACCAAT